AGAGATTTTCTATAAGATGTCAAAATATGAAGATGTGTACTCCACAATTCTTCACTCTCCATGGATATATTTCTGGCTGGTGAATTGCAGGAAGGAAGATGCGGAAAAGAACTCAGAGGCTATGAATGAAAGGAGTAGACATTTGTCCAAACTACCTTCTCTGCTCTGTACCTCAGAATTTCTCTGTCACTGCCCAACGTCTCTGAGTCCAAGCCTTCTTGGGAAGTTTTCTCAAGAGTGAGCTTTCCTTTCGTGTGGATAAAACAGACTCAACTGATGATGGCAGAGGAGGAGTCTTCTTCTCAACCTGATTCTCCATATTCACTGACCCCTGTTATTTCCCACTAAGGATCCACAGGAAGATAGTTGGGTCATGGCTTGTTTTCTGTTTTTCATCAACCTTCCTGTTCTGACATTTAAATTACAACCCTGTCCTTCCTGCTCAGTGATCATCCTTAAATATCCTCACTGTGCTTCAAATATTTTGTAAGATTAGTTGACTGTTTAACGTTTTCATCTACCATGAAAAGACCAACTGTCGTTGCTGTACCCACAAAGCTATCTTTCAAAATTGATGGAGAAATATGATACTTCCATGACAAAAATCAACAGAAGAAATTCATGAGCACCAAACCAATCCTACAAATAGCACTAAAAGATATACTACAAGGAGATAAAAATGACCAGAATCTCAAGACCAACAATAGAATAGAACTACCAAGCAAGGTAAGCAATTAAACAGAGGGGCAATGCACAGAACCAACAGTGGGAAAATAACATGACAAGGATAAGTCAATACATATCACTAATAACGATGAATGTAAATGGTCTCAATTCACAAATCAAAAGAAACTAACTGGTAGAGTGGATCAAGAAAAAATTTCAACAATATGCTGTATACAAAAAATGCAGTTAACTCAAAAGGAAATCCATAGACTGAAAGTCAAAGGAGGGAAAGTAATACTCCATGTGACAGGAACCCAGATAAAAGAAGAAGTAGCTATTCTGTTTGCAGACAAGGTGAACGTCAAACCAACAATGATCAAAAACCATAAAGAAGGTCACTATATTCTTGATAAGGAAAAACTGAAAGAGGAAGAGATAGCAATCATAAACATACATGCACCAAATGTAGGGACACCCAATTATACAAGGCAAATTTTAACAGACATGAAAAATCAAATAAGTAATAACGCAGTTGTAATGGGATTTTAACACACCACTGTCACAAAGAGATCAGTTAGAAAATCAGGTCCTCAAAATTCAAAGACCCAGCACAAAAATGGGCATCTGAGATGAATACACAATTCTCACATGAAGAAATACAAATGGGAAATAAATACATAAAAAAAATGTTCAGAGTCAGTAATCATTTGAGAAATGCAAATTCAAACAACACTGAGATTCCACCTCACTCCATAAAGAATGGCTATCTTCAAAAAATCAACCCATAACAAATACTGGGGGGGGGCTGTGGTGAAAAAGGAACTCCTCTCCACTGTTTGAGGGAGGGTAGAATGGTGTATTCACTTTGGAAATCAGTCTGGAGATTACTCAGTAAACTAGGAGTAGAAGTCCCATTCAACGCAGCTATTCCCCTCCTGAGTATTCTTACAGAATATTGGAGAACATCATACCACAGTGATATACGTGCACCCATGTTTATAGCAGCACAACTTAGAATAGCTAAATCTTGGAAACAACCCAAATGTCCATCAACTGAGGAATGGATAAAAAAGATATGGTATTTTTACACAATGGAGAATTACTCAGCTCTAAAGAAAGATAAACTAGAGGCTTTTATAGGTAAATGGGTGCAGCTAGAAACCATACTCATTAATGAAATCAACCAGATTCACATGTGTAAACATCATATTTCCTCCCTACTATAAGAACCTGAAGGAGTAAATAAAATCTGAAAGGTACAGTAGATTTTGTGAAAGGGAAAAGAAACTGCTCAAATAGGAAGTAGCACCTGGGATGAAGGAGGGGAGAGGAAAAAGAAAGAAGGAAGAGAAAAAATATGTATATGTATACACAGGATAGCTAGGATAATTGTAATACTAATATCTGTTGGCTTATCAAAAGGAACTGTAAATGTGTAATTGTTTGATCAATCTTGCCAGATCTATATCTGGTTATATGCGCAACCATTTTGAAGATGACATTATTTAATATAACAACCATTGTTAATATCCTATCACCATGTTTTGAAATTCTGTATCATTTTTATTGCTCTCTATGCCCTTTAGTTTATATATCTGGTTTTGTTTTTTTTTTAATGAAAAAATAAAGTTTATATGTATATATAAGGATTGCTGGAATAGGTATATGGCTGATGTCTGTAGTCAGTGCTTAAAATTTTCTTTTCCTTGACCACATTTGCACACTTGAATTTGGTAATCAGAATGACTGATCTGAAAATAACAATATGCAGTATAAGAACCATTGTTGAACTCCTGCCATCTTGTGTGGTGAAGCTCTGCATAATTTACAATGTCGTTTTTTTAATTACTTGCTATTGTCTTTGATTGTTTCATCAATCTTACATTCTTATATCTGGTGGACTGAGCAAGTTCTTTGAAGATAACAGTATGTAATCTACCAACCATTGTTGATTCTTATCATTTTGTTTTGAGGTCTTGTATCATTTTTGTGTTTTTTTATTTTGCCTTCATTGTTATTTTAGTTTTTTTATTTTTAAAATTTAAAAAAACACTAACTGTCATCCACAGTTACGTTATCATACTTCAAAAGAATACTGAAACACAATGACAATTAAAAATTTCACTTCTGCTGCAAAAAATGAAACTTCAAAATTAACCCTTTTGATTCTTTTTGTTTCTTTACTGCTGTGTGAATGATATAGGGGACTGAAGCCATGTCCTCACAAACCATGGTCTTGCTAAGTTTCCCAAGCTAGTCCTGAACTAGTGATCCTCTTGCATCGACCTATCACAGTGCTGAAATAAATATAGGTGTTACTGCATCAGGTTTAAAAGGAAGTTTCACTAATAACAGTGTTCATTAAAGACAATGTCATACTCCCTATTCAGAACACCCCACAAAATTCTCCCTTCACAAAATTTTTTATGGAAATAAACTTATGAAATAATAAAATTTTATATAGGAGGACCTTCTGCTTAAATGGCAATATTTATACTAAATCTTAGTTTTAAAAATACTTCCCAGATTTAAAATCATCTCTGGCAAGCCCTTTCTATTATGCTTCAGTAAGAAGAGTCTACTTTTCTCTACTACAGACACAGAATTATCAGGACAGGAAAAGTTCTCTGACAATTTATGTGCTGTACAATATAGCCTTTTCATAATAAAAATCATTCTGTTGTAAATTGATATGACAATATCTGTCAAAAATCATCTCCATGCAATTTTCCTTGCTTACTGTTATGCTCTCTTCAATTCTCTCAGGCACCCTCACATCATGTGCAAAGACTTTCCTGTTACCCCTATTATTACACATGGACAGAGTGCTACTGCTGGGATATAATGTTAGTGAAACTTTGCCAAGACACAAGATGAATGACACTACCAACATCTTCCCAACATCTTCCTCATATTCGCTTGCCTGCCATCTGTGGTCATACCTGTGACCTCCGGGTGTTTCATCAGGAGCAGGAGAGCATGTCTCAGTGTTGAACTTGTTGTCTCTGTTCCAGCACCAAACAAATCATTTATAGTGACTGTCAAGTTTTCATAAGTAAACGCCAACATGTCATTCTTGTTTTCCTAGGAATGATTTGGTGCAATGTTGGGATAAATTACTTGCCAGCATAATCATTGAGAATGAATCAAAAATAATTGATGGTGTTATAAAACTGGCCAACACACATCCTGGAAGTGTCATGTTAGAAAAAACCACAAATTTGTCTTAACTGACTCAAACTTCATTTCCTACAACTCACATTTTGCTTGCCATAGGTTTCTGTGTTTGAGATCCTCCCTTGTTAGATGTGCCATGCAGGATACTTATATCTCACAACGTTATAAGCAAAAGTATGTTGAGGCTGTCTTTCAATTTTGTCCTTATTCAGAACACACATGTGAACAAGAAGTTAGAAGAGATATCACTTTGGGAGATGAGCATTTAATCGTAAAAATGCTAAACACAGTGAAGAAAATTAGAAGGTACTTGTACTTAAGACTACACATTTACCGCTACACTGACCACAGTGAGGATCTTCAACTTGAGCACAGTAAACCCACCCTTGTTTAATGCAGTCATAATTAGATTTTTCTCTTATACATAAACACAAAGTTATTCAATAAAAATAAGAAAAAGAAGGTTATATGATAAAGATTATAAGCTGAAATCAAGAATCCCTAATTTAATTCTTACAAAAAATCACCTGGCTCAATATTATCTACTGAATATAAATTTGAAAACATTAAAAGCTAATAAAGCAGGAAAAAGTGAAAAGAAAAGGGAAAATGTTTGGATTATGAAGACAAGCTGCCCCAGCAACAGAGGAGTACAGACGGGACGAAAAGGCAACTGATCTAAAGGAGAAGTACAGAATTAATGTGTGAACAGTGTCCTCTCCAGGTGTAACCATTTCCTTACAAATGACTCAAGTTTATCTTTCTTAATGGCAGACTTGCCATTAAGACATGTCATAGTCCTTGGACTATTTGTGGTATTTGTAAATACAACATTTTTTAATCTGTTCATCTGTTGATGGACATATGGGCTTCTTCCAGGACTTAGCTATTATGAATTATGCTGCTATAAACATAGATATGTGTACATCACTGTGGTATGATGACATTAATTCCTTTAGGAAGATGCCTAGAAGGAGAAGAGATGGGTCAAAAGGAATTTCTATTTTTAGCTCTTTGAGGAATCTCCATACTGATTTACAAAAGGGGGTTGGAGGAAGGGAAAAAAGAATTAATATGTGGAACAACTCCCTACAATGAGTGAAAACATTATGTCTACAAATGTACTACTAAAAAGAGTTACTGTATTAATGTGGTTGTGCAAATTAGAGTGATATCCAATTGTGAAAAAATGCATTTGATAACCAATTACCAAAAGGGGTAAATGAGAGAGTATAAATATTGCACATCATCAGCCCCTGCTGCAGGCTAGAGAAGGTAATACAATATAGAATTGTCAACAGTGTTGCAGGTTTGAATATGGAGTATAGGTGATCAATAATATCCATAAATATAAATGTGTTAATCTTCAGGCAACACTAGATAAATAAAATTTCTATGTGTTCAAGTTAAATTGGAGTTTGAGTAGAGGAATAGAGCCAATGGTACTTCAAATAGGCTAAACAAAGCAATATTGAAAGAAATTTTAGACGATCTAAATAAGTAGAAATGCATTCCACACACACTGATAGTTTTATGATGGTATTGCAAGATTAATATCATGAAGATGGGAACAAGGAAGTATGGGAAATAACTCCCCCACAAAAAATAGTCCTTGAGTGTGCATAGTCAGTCTAGTGCAATTATTTTGCATCTTTGGCTCTAGGCAAATACACTCAGTGTCATGTGCAGAGATTGATGAAGATAGCATCCAATAAATTTTAGTAAATTTGGCATCTCACACAGAGGGTATCTTTCTCCATAACACAGTTCCGATATAGGCAGTTTGCAAAAAGTTTTTTGTTTTGTTCAGCTTACTTGTCACAAACTGGGCAACAGAAACCTTTTCATCCAGAAATCAAAGTTGTGATTTCAGTTGCTGCCTGACTGGCATAGACATTGGTCATTGTTTCATCTTCATGGAACAATGAAATTTCCCAGTGGCATTTAGTGAGGGACATAAAAAGGATTTAAAGAAGCAGAATGGCTTTTTTATTTTTTTCTTTAATTTTGTTACCTTGCTAGATCGAGGAATATAAAGAAATCTCTATCATGTCACTGATTTATCAGCAATAGTGGGATAAGTGTAACAGTCAGTTGATCACAGATGACAAGAAATATTGCCTTTGCAAAATTTATTTCCTAAAGTCAATGAATAAGTGCAATAATATAGCCTTTTCCAAGAAAGAATAATACTATCTGAAGAGGGTAAATATCTTTTTTCTTCAAATAACAGATTACATTATAATACATAACTAAATAAAACAAAAAGATTATACTATACCAAAAGAAACCATGAATACTGTACACTACATTATTAACCAAGAAGTGGATTAACATGAACCATGCCTGTCAAAAATCAAACATCAAACTTACTAGATAAAAACCTTTAGGCTAAACAGCTTTAGAAAGCTTAAGGATACTATATGAATGGACTACTACAGACCGTACTCATAAGTGAAATAAATCAGACCTGCATGTGCAAGCACTGCATTGTCTCACTAGTGTAAAACCTGAGTTAATATAAACTTGGATGTATGACAGACATTGTGAGATGATAGGAAAACGTTCAAGGGTAAAGGTAACTGAGATGTGGGAAAAAAGAAGGGAAAGAAGGAGAAATTCTGTATGTATTTATATACAGGATAGTGAACATAGTTGATCTACTGTCTTCCATTTCTTTGCTGAAAGAAACTGTCAATGAGTCCTTGATTGATTAATATTGCATGTCTCTGTTTTCTCGAGAAACCACTTTGAAGACATCAATATGTAATACAACAAACATTGTTAATTTCCTAACATTTTGTTGGTAACTCTGTATTGTCTGTACTGTTCTTTTCCTATTTTGTATAAGGTTGTCTGTTAATGTTTTCCTCCTTTTATTTTAAAACTAAAATAAATAAATAAAAATAAAAATAAATCAGAAGAACAATGCATGCAAAGTTCAAAATAGTATCAACTTTGGACAACAAATTTAATGAGAGATTATAGATTAAAATACAATAAAAAACTCAAGAGAGTTTCAACAGGATACAAGATCTAATGGAGCTTAAACTTGAAAATCAGGAACAAGACAAGGATGTCCACAATTACCACACCTATCCAGTATAATTTTGGAAACATTAGCAAGAGCAATTAAACAATAGAGAGACATAAAATGAATAATGATAGGAAGGGAAGAAGTGAAATTATCAATATTTACAGATGCCATGATACTCCATATAGAAGATTCCAAAAACTTCACCTAAAGACTTCTAGATTTAATAACCAAATTCAGTAGCATAGCTGAATACACAGTAAACACTCAAAAATCAATAGCATTCCTGTATACAAACAACAAACTCACTAAGAGAGAAACTGAGGAAACCACACCCTTTACCATAACATCCAAAAAAATAATATGACCCACACCATTGTGGGAGAGCCCCAGAAAGCTTTGGGAGCCTCAGAGACCTGACCCCCACACCCCACTCTGTCACAAGAGCCACACTGAGCCCTGGGGAGCTTCGGGAGCCTTGATGACAGTGCCCCACTTCACCCACCAGTTCAGGAGCCACACTGAGCACTAGACAGCTACAGAAGCCTCAATTACAGTTCCCACCTTCCCCAATGTTGTAGGAGACACCCCCCAACCATCCCCTAAGGTGTTGAAGTCATGCTGAGGCCCAGAGACCTTTGGGTGCCTCAGCAACCACACACTACCCCCTCACTTGTGCAGGAGGCAACCTGAGTCCCAGGGAGCTTCAGGAAACTCACCACATCCCCCACATGATTGCAGGAGTGATGCTGAGCCCTAGGTAACCTTGGGAACTTTGAAAATGACAAAATGAAAGAATGAAATGCAATCTCAGAACTTCACACTACACACAACAAGGCAAAGAGACATAGACACAGAGGAGCTTCTAAGTGATGCACCCGAAATGATCGAAACTGAACAAAAAAACAACTCCATAAGTCTATAGAAGAAACCAGATCACAAATAATCTCTCAGGTAAAAAATAAATCATAATATTAATTAAAAAATTGCTTGGCACATGTAAAGATGTTGATAAGAAAATAGAGGAGCATAGAAAAATGATGGAAACATTGAATGAACAAAATAGGAAAGAATTAGAATGCATGAAACAGGCCTCCCCAACCAGCCTGCGAGGCAGGTGGAGTCCTGGGCACACTCTATGGCCTCTGTGGCTACTGCCCACACCCCTAGTGGGTTTGCAGGTGCTGGGTGGAACCCCGGACATCTTCAGGAACCCAGGTGAGTTGACTCTGCACCTCCCTGACCAGTGTGCAAGGCAGGCAGACTCCGGGCATCCTCTGGGGCCTCTGTGGCTACTCCCTGCCCCGCTAGCATGTCTTCAGGTACTGGGTGGAAGTCTGGACATATTCATGATCCCCAGTGAGACACTCCTGCACCTCCCTAACTAGTGTGTGAGGCAAGTGGAGCCCTAGACACCCTCTGGGGCCTCAGTGGTCACTCTCAACACAACCCGCACCTCCCTGGGAGCACAGCTGAAACTTTGACAGAGTCAGCAGCCTCGAGGATTCCACTCTCACCCCTCCCCTGCCAGCGAGGGAACCGGGCTAGCTCCTGGGCAATATCTGAAGCCTCAGTAAACATGACCTTTATCCCACTACTTTTGTGAAGATGGGCCAAACCCCAGACAGCTTCAGGAACTCCATTGAGCCTCACCCGCTCCTCTCCCACATGCCTGGGAGCCAACTGAATGCAAGAAAGTTTTGGGAGCATCTGGGATCCCACCTAGCCACC